AGTCATTCCAGAATTTATCTTTGGACCCTATATCTAAATCTACTTGAGGAACATAAGCACTTATAATATTAAAAATCTTAGTATCAATAATAATCTTAAGGGAAATAATTCTATCTTCAACTCTATTATTTTCTACACCATTATCTTTCTAACTCTTATCTATAATTACACCTGAACAATTTCTAGTACGACTCTTTCCAGAATACCAAAATTTAAAAGCTATGTTATCAATCTCCTTAGTTTTTCTCCAACCCCCATTTAGTTTCTTGATACATAAGATATTTATCTTTCAATGAATCATAATATCAACTAATTCCATTAATTTACCATTGAGAGTACCTATATTCCAAGAACCTATCCTAATATTAGTTTCATTAGTTTCATGGACTAACTTCTTTACCCGCATTCGCCCGTTAGTAATGTGGGAACCCTTGCTTATTTGATACTAAAACCGACGCTGATGTAGCGGCCCTTGCACACTTATCATTGTATTTAGGTCATACAGAGCGTCGCTTTCAGGGATGCCATAGCACTCACACAATGATCAAAAGGATTCATGTCATAATTTTTTAAACAAATTTTACACTGACTGTCAACTACCTAATACAACCCTCCACTTTTCACACCCGGGCTTGAGACTGACAATGACAGTGTTTTCTTAGAAGGGGTGCAATGGGGACTTCCCAGTAGGTCAATGATCCTAGTACTCTAGTACTACTATCGCCTAAGCAAGGTCAACTTACCATTGAAATTAATATTTTTTTTAGGAAAAGAAAAATTTTAGGTTGATATATATGATATGAGAGACGATGTATATTTATGAAAAGAGGATTGCAGCTGATAGGTATTAGTTATGATGTGTTTGTGGTCACTTTTTATTATTATTTTTTTCTGATATTGATATACTGTTCAGTACTGGCTTGGAATGTGGTTTTCAAATTATGTTGTTGTTTCTGAATTTCTAATTTAATTATACTTTGTGGATTAATGACTCTTTTTTATATTGGAAGTTTTTGAAAAATTTTTGTGGAAAGTAAAATGAAATGTTAATACCGTCTGACCGCAGTTACCGCCTTAGTTAATTCCAAGCACCAAACCGGTCGTGACAACCAATATGTTTGAGAAAATTTTAGCATTCTTTTATTATAATTAATAAATTGATACTTAGATTAGATAGGCAGATATAAGATTGGATGGTTAAAATAAAGCACTTTGAAAATTTTGTTTGATAAGTGGATCTCATGATGGTTTATAGGTAGTTTTTTTAAAATTACAGCTAGGTCAATAATGTTGTTTGAACTCAATTATTAGGTTGTAAAAAATCTATTAATATCTAAGTTGAGCATGACAAGATGAGAATATTAAGGGTAGGGGTGTCAATTCAAGTTTGACTTGATTTGTACCAGCTTGAACTTTTCTTATTAAACGAGTTAAAAAGTTTGACATGAACCCAACTCAATTTCAACTTGTTTGACCCAAATCGGGCCCAAGCAAGTTGTTTAATAAAAGGATTGACAGGCATTCTACGTTGGCACATGCATTTTTTGCATCGAGTTTAGAGTAAGTTGGTGTCAAATTTGGGTTTTTGGGCGGAGTTCGGGTTTAATTTGACATTTTGGGCCAACTTGAACCCGACTCAAAAATTAAATGGGACAAGGTTATAAACTTAAATGCAACCCCCAAGTTATTTGAGTTAACTTGAACTCGGAGTTTTTAGATGAAGTTTGTGTTTGGCTGGTCATGTTCGGTCAATTAGTAAAGATAAATCAAAGAATGATTGTATTAGAAGAAATTGTTGAAGTAACATCTATTAAATCCAAGGTGATTAAAATTAGAGTTGGGTGATTTGGACATGTACAATGAACAGTAGAATATGTGACAATTAAGTTAGTGTTAGATTATTAGGAAAATTATATAGACCCAAGGTTATATGGATGCATAATGTTCAGAATGATTTGAGAATAATAGATTTAACATTTCATATAGCACTCAAGAAAAATAAATGTAAAATACTCCAATAGCTAGGTTCAGGCTAATAATGGTAATGATTTTGATAAGTAGATAGAGTTTAAGTTAGGAATCCATAGGAATATAATCAGGTAGTTCATTTTAGAAATGTTTTGAAATGTAGAAACTTAATTGGCATAGTTTGATTAGCTTCCTTTTTGCTCTACATGAACAGTTTTGTTTTTATTATTCATGCTTAGTTATATAGTAGCCCTTCCTTTATTATTTGGTAATACTAGGGCATGCAGAAGAGTAATGCACGATGATTCAACCTTATTGTTGTGAGAAGGCAAAGATATATCAGAATGCCACTCTTGTGTGATATGTATAACTTAGGCCATGTAAGCTAGTATTCCTCCCTTAACACATAGGACAGCAATTGGTAAAGACAGGATTAGAATAATAGTAATAATAAGTATGCTTGTTATATGAAACTAAATGCAAATGAGAACAATCCAAAGATGTTAGGAATGTTATAAGTTACTGTATATTAGAAAGTTTAATAATAATAATAAACCTGGGATAATAGTTGATTGAGCATTAAAAGGTGAGATCGTTAGGGTGAAGATGATTAATAATAGGATGATTGCTATTAAGATAATTATTGATAGAGATGTCATGAATGTGGCTAGTGCTTATACTCCTCAAGTAGATTTAGAAGGTAATTTCACAATAGCGAACACCTATTTTTAGAAATGGGAACAAAAAGTAAGCCACCAAATCACAAATGTTTTTTTTTTTCTTTGACTTTGATGAAAAGAAAATCCTTTAGAAAATCCTTTATGCAAAGATTGAATAAAATAATAGAGAAAATGTCAATTTATGCTAGGGAACATCAAAGCAAAATTTGCATGTTCTTTCCCCCACAAACCCGTCCTTAATTACACTCCCTTGCATGAGAAATTCAGCCAAATTCTCCCTCTCATCTCTCTCTCTCTCTCCTCTTCTATTGGTGACGCCCTATGAAGAAATAGGAATGTGAATGTTGAATCCCAAGGCTTATATCAAGGATGGAATCCACAAATGGTGCATTTTAAAAATCAACATTACATGATCAGCCACCCTTATATTTATTTAATATTTTTATTCCATAATAGTGAAAAAGAGGCTTGGAAAGAAAGTACTATCATCTAGGAAAATTGCTTGAAAAAAATAATGTAAAATGCTAGCATTTTGCTAATAGCTAAAGCTAGGTGATTCTCCTCGATTGGAACTTTTAAGACTTGCTAAAAAATATTATTTGTGTTTTATTTTTAGTTACAAGTAAAGAATGCATTCCTCTCTCTTTAGTTGTAATTATTCCACTATATCCAACATCCCCTCGTAGAATGCCTCCATTCAACCACATGGTTGGTTGATTTTGCCCTCATTCAAAATTTAGATTAATGACACTTATTTTAAGTATTCCATGGCCATGTCTAGCAATTTAACTATAGCATTATTCTGTTGTCCCCTTTCATTGAATAAATGTGCTGATGGTTAATATCTCCTAATGTCTTCCTCTCCGGGCGCCTCCCCGCCCCTCATCACTTTGGCTAGATTCATCATATTTTTTGTAGGAATAGTTTGGTGGCTTCATTCTCCTTCTATAATAGTTGTTTTTTATTTTAGTTTAGACTCTTCAGCTTCCTTTATCTTTGGTTAGAATTTTTTTTTTCAAATCTTCTCTCCAAGAATTTTGGGGCACACCGGATTCTTGTGTTGCTTTCTTCTCATAGTTCTTGAAGTTATTTCTACTCCATGAATTCATTCCCCTCATAATTAGTCTTGGATTACCAGCATGCCTTCATTTAGCCATAGGTTTGTTGATGTTTCCTTCATTCACACTCTGAATGAATGACACTACTCTGAATGAATGACACTCCATGGTATTCTTAGGTATTTGATAATCATGGCTAGCAAATTAACCATGGTTTCATTTCATTCTCTACCTGCATAGAATATAGATGTGATGAGGTTTATTTTCTCCTCTCCCTCACACTTATCCACCATCACCTTCCATCCCCTCATCATATTTCAGGGATCCAAGTTTTGGGAAGTAAAAAATTGACTAATATCTAAATTAAATGGGGTAAAAATGTGAATATTTAAATGGATGGATGACAAGTTATGAAGGATAAAGCGATAAAAAATTATATTAGATGAACAAATGGAGTACTACCTATTGAAGATAGTTTAAAATATTTTTAGGTAAAATTCATTTCAACGTCTTGGGCTCAACATGAACAATTGAAAGATGTGAATTCATAAAACCGGCCTCAAGTAATAATGTAACGCTAATGATGATCAGTTTTATTTTTCCTTGCTCTTGGGTTGCTATTATTATCTACTATCATTCTTTCTTTACTCTTGTACTAGTAACCACCTTCATTCCTTCTCTTTGGATTTTCCTTTGGTGTTGTTCTAGGTCTCTTTTTGAATCACTGGATCACCTTTAGTGTTACTAACAAGGTCAAACCAAGCATATATTGGTCGAATTTTGATATAACTGTGGTAAAAGATAGGTCTAAGGGGGGTATTTGATCAACATCATTAGTTCGGTGTTGCATTTCATTTCCCTTTATTTTAATTTTTTAGTGTTTGGTTTGACAATAAAAATGCAAAATTAAATTTTTAAGGAATTTGAAATATCTCAAAGCCTATGTTTTTCCTACATTTGAAAATTGTCCTAATCAGGCAATTTGACAGTCCCGTGCTAGACACGATCAACATTTTTCGTTGTTACCATTTGCCATCACTTGCCTTCCTTTGCTTGCTTGTGGTCACCCTTCACCTGTCATTGGCACCACTTGTCACTGTCTGCACTCCACCAAAAGCTCTTTTGTAATATCAGCAAGTTCATGTTCGATAAGATTAGTGTTGCCTTCACCAGCCCTCTTTCCAGCATTGTCCTTATATTTGCAATGAAATTCATCCTTTACATTTCGCTCATTCAATCGGATGATCTTGCTTGCTATACATCAAATAAGCTTTTGGTTTGGTGCTCCTCCTAGGCCTTTGATGAGGCCATCTCTGAATTGGACACCCTCGGCGAAGAATCCTACAAGGATAGCACATTGATCATGCAACTTCTCCGAGACAACTTGACTCTATGGACCTCCGACATAACGGTATCCTCCCCCCCCTCTCTGAGTGCAAATTATTGTTGTTTTTGTTTTCCTTGACAAAACACTTGTATATTTCTCAAATGCAGGAGGATGCTGGGGATGAGATCAAAGAATCCTCAAAACATGAATCATGAGGAGCTGGCCTTCATTTTCATTTCAAATAGATATTATTGCTTCGAAAGACTTTGTTGTGTGAAACATCAGCCCTGTATATGGTGACTGGTTGTGAAGATGGCTGGCGTTTTTAATTGGATATATTAAGCTTATTGTGTGCATCATATTATGCTATTTAGTAGGGTCTCAGACAACTTTTCTTGTTGAAGAATATTTAGTAGATGTTAGCTTCTACTGTTGCAAGTGTTAGTCTTTGGTGTGGTACGATTTCAATTAGTGTTTCTATCGTTTACAAAATAAAATTTTAATATATTTTTTGATGTGAAGTTTTGGTGCTATTTTTGTATGTGAGATTAAAGATTAAATTGGTATGCATGTGAGTATGAACATTTAGGTGTTTGGATATGTAAATATAAAAGAACTGTGGTATAGTATGTATATTAAGCATATATAAATGTTGTGGATTTCCTAACTCTTTATGATATTAATGTAAAATGATACTACATATTCGTTCATTTGGTCAGCTTGAACTTTGAATAATAGAAACAACAACTTTCAACAAAGAAACATAATCATTATTTACATTAAAACCCACTCATAAAAGTAGTAGGCCAAACATACCCACCAATGGATAGCTAAATTGGTGACTACACCTTGATTATCAAACATTATGGTAGCCTATGTGACACCCTCACACTGAACAAATCATAGACCAAAAATCATTAACCTTCCTACAAATAATCAAGTTAAGAACCACTAGTGTCTCATTAAAAATAACTTGAATAAAAAATAGGATTGTCCTCAACTCCAACAATATTTTTTCATTAATATTGTTTTCTTTAACTAAATTTTTTATCAAACCCCCACCAAGTGAAGCATAGATGCTTAAAAAGATGTGTTCCTTCATGAACTAGCTAGATTGGGCCACAAAATCAACACCAAAGCTTTTCTTAGCCTCAAAATCAATCTCCAATGGTGGAGATAAGTTTATTAAAGGTAAGGGCCTCCAAAATTTTCTCAATATATGGTGAAGGGTAGATCAAGAAGAAGTTTATCAGCTTAAAGTATAATTGTGAAAACAAGATGGTAAAATGTTAAAAGAGTTTAATATTTTGTAGCTATTCTACTAGGAAACAGTTCAAATCTCAATAATAAGCTTTGAAGTTGCATCCATGTCTATCAAAACACAAGAAATATAAGGTAAAAAAAAAAACAAAAAAGATATTATTGACATAATGCAAATTTCAAAAAAGGTTGCTAATGGTAAAATCAGCATACAAATATTGCATTTGACAAAAAGATTTAGAGGAGGAACCCAACCCAAAGTAGACTCCTTATTTTTTTTGTAAATGGAGTCTATATAAGAATCCTTACATAAAAGCCTTTTAATATAAAATATCCAACTAGAGAATAAATATGAGCAATCATTGTTCAATTTGAAATGAATATGCATCACACAAAAAAAAAGAATAATTTACTTTATGTATTAATAACAACTATTTTGAGTTAAGATTCCATTATAGTAGTTGGGTAACTTTTAATAGTTTATTATTCATATTTTTTTTAAAATACAAAGTTATAATCACTTGTCTCATGCTTAATTGAGAAAGTTTAAGGGTTGATATTTAGCATAGATCTTTTTATGAAAATGTTATGATAACTAATTAAATCAAATTAAAATTAAGTTTATCAAGAATTTCATTAAAAGTGACATTCAAGTCTAAGAAATTTATGCAAATAAATAAGCTACAGTTTATTAAAATGTCATTCCCATGTGACACATTATAATTTAAATTAATTAAGGTCATAAATTAATAAGTTTGAGATATCATTCTTAAATAAGGCATTACAAATTAGCTTGATTATGGCAAAAGATAAAAGGTGTTTACAAAACTTAAAATAAGATTAACATTATTTTATATAATTGAAGATTTTGGAAAAGAAGATAATATAATTGGTGAATTCAATGAATAAAGGATGAATAAAAATTTCTTAGCTACTAAAATTAAATAAAAATAAAAAAATCAAGGGCGATAGGGGAGGTTATATGTTATTGTATGCTAAAAATTTACAATAGGATTAATGTTGGGGCAGCAATGGATAAATAGTTGTAACATAGCATTATAGATATGGCTAAAATTGGAAAAAAAATGCTTATTATTTTAATAGATATATATGAGAATTTAATAAATGATGTTAATAATCATGTTGGATTTAAAGATAAATAAATCAAATAATCATAAGAATATATTAATGAATAATTATAATGTTCAGATGAAGAAGAAATGATATTTATTAAAATTGAATTAAATAAATATTAAAGTATTAATGTTACAAGATATGAGTGGATTCTTGAGGACATAAAATAGCAAAATAATATATAACTATCTTTATAAGTGTGGTATAATAGTCTTTCCTTAAAATTTAATTTAATCGTGTGAACCTAATTCAATGTATACAATAATTAGCAAGTCCACATAGGCATGGTACATGGTGCATGTTAGTAGAGTAGCACAGTTATAAGATGAAGATAAACACATGAAGATAGTATATAAACATGAATTATATAAACTACTTTTGATATGGCATACTACCTTTAACATATTATTTTAAGATGATATGCTTTAGTGATGATTTACATTCAAAATAATATGCATATGCATTGGTATGAACATAGTGATTTAATTAATAAGTATTTTATAATTCTTGATATAAGAATTTTAAGAATATATCTTATTCAATTTCTATGTATCAAATACAATTGTAGTCCTTGTGCTATCTAATCAACTATTTGGCCCTACTTATTACATTTGCATATTCTTAAGAAAGGTTAAAGCTCTAATAGAGTGAGGTTTTTATTCCTACCGATGAAGATACATTTTATTTGTTTGTAAATGTGTTTTTTTTATGGTAATTGGTTAAATATATTATGTTAATTTTATTTAAATTTCATCATTATTATATATAAATATTTTAGATGTAAATAATGTTGACATATGCATACAAAGTATGGATATGATTGTGGAAGGGCAGAAAAATTTGATAGTTTTAGAATTAAACATTTATTTCTACCATAAATACATACAAAATATTATGATTTCTTGTATATAATTATTTAGGTATGAAGTTTTTTGTGATTGTGGTCCCATAAAACTATTGATTTCCAAGAATAATAAATGTGTGATTAAAAATGATTTAATCAATTGTTATCCCTACATAATATTATAAGGGCTATGAAATTTGACTTTATTATGTATTTTGGTAATTTTATTGCTTTTGTAAGATGATGTTTGGTATATGATGCATGTTAGTAGAGTATAGGATGAAGATAAACATTTACATATATCTTAAAGACAAAATCCGCCACTTTTTAGGGACATAATGGAGCCCTTGTGGCTAAAGATTAGTTATTATTATTAGAGAAGTTATTTGATGAGATATAGTGCCTAAAGAATTATAAAATAAAATTGACCGTAGAGAGATTCAAAGTGTTGGTAGTTATACTGTAGATAAATATGTTCCTAGATAGATTGACTAGTATAATAGGGAGGTGTTTGTGTACGCTAAAAGATAAATTAGGTTTTTTTTTTCCTTCTATTACATAATAAATATAGAATATATTCATTATGATGGTGTAGAGGAGCAAGGACATTATGTGATCCGAGGTTTAGGTCATTGTTATAAAAATTGCACCCATAGTAGTGCTTACTATCGAGGAGAAAAGTTACAATTATTAAGAGACTATGATGACTTAAGGAATCTAATAGTCTTATTAAGAATTACAAATTTCATATAATTAGTAGAAAGAATTTGATTATTCAATAAGTATCTATTAGATTCAATAAATGTGGGATTTAAGTAGAAAAAGATTTAATTAAAATACATACTTTAGAGGAATGAAGCACAAATTCGAATTAAAAATTTTTAGAATGTGTTTAACGACATGTATTAATAATGCACTCATGTAAATAATTAAAAAAAAAACATTGAAGGCAATTTTATTTGATTATTGAGCAGTATTTTATTTATGATTATTATAAAATGCAAGAAGAAAGAATGATCTTAAATGATATCTAAGAGGAGAGTCGATACCATAATATAACGTTCAAGTTGTATAAAGAGGTAGAGTATATCACCACCTAAAGTGTATTGTGGGGGTCCTCAAGCTTAGGTGAGGGCACAACCATACAGAGGAAGTATAGAGTGAGTTAAAGGGAGCTTGCAGATTTAGCTAGTCCCACTCTAATATAGGGTAGATTTTAATGTTGATTCATCAAGAGGCATCGTTTTTATTATGATGTACTTGTACATTTCAGAATTGAAGTGATCATGTGGCACACTTAAAAATTGGCTTTAGAGTACCATGATGAAGCATAAGTTAATTGTAATTTTTTTTTAAATGTAATTTTTTATTGAAGGATGTTATATTCTAGGGTTATATAATTAATTAATTCATGTAGCTAATGACTCTCAAAAGGTGAAAGCTGCTCCCGAGTGACCAAGGGGCCTACGATTGTGTCAAAGGTGCACAGATTTCTTATTATGAAAAGCTATAATGGAAAGTTATCAAGTGCTTTCTCTAATTCAGAACTTCTCTAGCTAAGCTGATGTATAAAGAACTAACATTTAAATGAACTATGAATTATAACAAGTCTTCTCAAAAGTTAATCTCAACACTTATTTTAACTATTCCATTTGATACTAATATATTCTAGGCTTTTAATGATGCATTATTGAAGGGTGTATGTTGAGTGCTATTTCAGTTTTAAAAGGTGATTGCATAGAATCTAATGTAAAAATTATCCCATGCATGAATTAGAGTCTACTATTATTATAATGTTTTTGGATATTTGAAAATATATATATATTTATATGAAATAAGTGTAATCAATATTAATAATGAGAGCTTAAAGTATATATGAGGTAATAAAGCTAATTATAGGTAATTAATAATTATGACCTTAGTGGTAAATATCAAATTAAGAAAGTTAATATTATAATAAAAGTGTTGAGTAGACATTTTAAACGAGTAGAAATTTGTATGATTATTTTTAGAGAAACATTAGTTAGTAAGATGGAGAAATTAGAGTTGAAAGTCATTAGGGCAGTTGATGTGGATTTTAGATTGTTATTCAAAATAATTGAGCTTATTTGGTTGTCTGATAAATAAGTTCTAATAAATTATTCTTAATATTTATTTAAAAAGATTGAAATAAAATAGTTGTAGATTATAA